GCGATGCAGCACACGGGCTGTGCTGAGCACAGCTCTGCAGACAGCTGGCTGCACAGCGTGTTCTCTAATGCAGCATTTTCAGAGAATGGACCAAGGGAATGAGTTTGACAAACGAGCCATTTTTTTTGTTGTTGATTTTTGGACAATGATTGGCTTGTCTGATGAAACAAACCTTTCAACAAGCAACTGAAATATTTTGCATAGTTAAAGGTGTTTCCTTTTGAGCCCTGGTGACATTATCTGAACAGGAACCTGGCAGGTTTCCTCCATGAGCAAGCTTGCAAGGCGGTGATGTCATTAAGAAAACATGCCAACTACTTTGGTCTTCCTGGAGGCTTAATTCTACAGATCTTAAGGAATGTCACCAAAAAAAAAAAAAAAGAAAACCAACAAAAATTAAAGCTTGTAATACCGTAGGAGGTCGGTAAGAGATCACTAGAGTGCTTTTGGTTGGCCCAGAGCAGCAATATGGAAGTTTTAACAATGCACGACAGTACTGCAAGTGTTTAGGCCAGGAAGTCACAAAACCAGAGTCCAGCTGAAACCGGAATTAAAGGAGGTGGAACGCTAGGCTTTGGCTAGAGTACCTGGATTCAAAAAATGGCTCAGGGATCCTTAATGAACTCGAGTTCAGAAACAACGGACTCCCCTGGCGGCCTGTACAGCCAGCTTCCCAGCACCTGGGCCCCATCGGCCGAACTGCTGATCAACCTGCTGGCAGCGCCTGGGTGGCGCTGGGAGCCTTCCAGGCAAGGCCCGCCGCCCGCTCGAGCAGCGGCGAGGCCCGCCGCCCCTGAGCTGACCTGTCCCCCCAGCCCTCTGCCCCCTTTCTGCCGCCGGCATTTCCACAGGAATGGACACGCTGCACGGGCGCATTTCCAGCCGCTGGCCCACGCCAGCCTGCTGCGCCGCGGGGTCGCAGCCTTCTCCCTGCCGTGGTCTTCTACCTCCATTAGCAATGCCAAAAAATACAAAGATGACATAATCTGATCCAGAACTTCAACAAAAAGCCATAACCACCAGTCATAAAATGCATAATTGAGCTCTGATGTTTACGAACCATAAAAAAAATAAGAATAGCTAATGAGTACTTCGGAGGAGGGCAGGCAAGGGCCCACGGCAGTGGGCTTTAGAAACAGGGGCTCCGCTTACTGAAGGTAACCAATGTCCTAACTGAGCAGTAAGACCCCCCCTTGTGAAAGGTGTTGAGGGTTTTGGCGGGTTTTTTTTACTTCTTGAAGTCAAGAATACTTGATGGTATTTAATAATTTGAAGGACTGGGTCCCAGTTTTGCAATGCACTTAAGATCCCGGACTGTCCCTGGTCCATCTGCAAAACTTAACTTAGCACTGACGTCAACAGGGCATTCTACTCCGAATGTTGGCCTTGATTACAACCTTTACCCTCCGCTAAGGATTTCATAAACCCAAGATTTCACAAGTTAGGTCACAGGGTATGAAACAGTTGTGTCTAGCTTGCTGAAAAATCAACCTGCTCCAAAGAAGGGTTAAAAAAATATATATATAGAAGAGCCCAGATGCTAAATTAAGCGGGAGAATTAAAAGCAAGTCTTCCACTCCCTGAACACAAGACGGAGGACACAGAACAAGGCAGGGTTTTTTTACAATAACTGGTCTAACAGTAAATTTACTGAAAACTTCATACAATCAAACTAGTGTAATTACTGAGACAGAAAAATAAAAATCCCTTTCATTTCAAGCACTTGGAATCCATGCCAAAACAGGGCACAATACATGATTTCTAAGCGTTTTGCTTTTACCTCAAAGCAAGACAAAACGCACAGTGCAGACTCTTAGGTGAAGGGGTACCGCCGGCTGCTGCACAACTGTGACGAGCTAAAGCCACAGTTCTAGTCTCTTCAGCAAAAACTTACACACACACACACCGAGCAGAACTTCAGCTACAGCCCTTTGTGAAGCCATTTTAAAATGCGAACTGAGCGCAGACCCCATCGGATGACTGCTTTGTCAAAAATGATTTTATATGGTAACACAGTAATGGCCATGCTGCCACGGGAGGAACTGCCGGGAAAAATAAATAAGCAAATGCTGCTGCAAGTACACGGCCAGCAGAGTTGTTTCTTGCAAATAACCCACAATAAACATATCTAATCTTCAAAATTACCCTCTTAAAGCTGCATATAAACATGCAGGTTTTGCTTGTGTCAGAACTAAAAATAATCCCCTACCACGAACAGCAAAATAAAAGACACTACGGCTCCAGGACACTTTCTCCTTCAGAAGGGTGGGGATGAACTTTTGTTGGTAAATAACAGAGCTAAATTTGGAAGTCTGAGATTATTTGCTAATGACTTTAAGACATTAGCTAAGAGGATCTGCAGCTAATTCTGCCTTATGTAAACTTCCAACAGTCCCACGCAACATGGAGCTAGGCTGTGGTTGTTGCACTACAGCCGTCTACACCAGGAACGTCCACACGTTTTGTAGGTTTGCTTGCTGCATGATCTGAAACAGAGCTGGGTAAAGCTACTTGCCCTCAATAGTTTGAAAATACAGGGCTCTGTAACCCCTCAGACACAGGAGTTTTGTTTTCCTCCCCACCCTATGCACAAGGACAGTGCCCTTTCTGCAGAGGAATGCTACATCTCAAATGCAGTCTGTCACATGAGCCTTTAACTTCGAACAGCAACATTTTTTGCACAGTTTGGTTTGATTTGATACATCTGGGTGAAGAGCATCAGAGGCAGCAACAGCTATCGCAAAAAAGACAACATTTCTCACTTGATGCAGTCTTACCATCTCATGTTCCTGTCCCCTATCCTACTTCTCCTGTGCTCCCACTTTGCAAAAGTTGGAAGAAGAAATGTAGGAAAGGTCATTAATGGAAAGCAAAAAGCGGGAAGTTTTGTTTTCAGCTGTTCCTTCAGATGTGGGCCGCGCAGAAAGCAAGGCAAGACTCAACCTACAAATAGAGCAAAGACTAACCCTCGGCCTGCACCGTGTCAACACAGATGAATGAAAAAGTTCAATACTCTTCTCTTCTCAACCCATTTGGAAACAGTTTCCTCTAGTGGTCAGGTCTAGAAGCTTGAAAGCTGCTGCAGACAGGATACCTGAGTATTTAAACCACACCCATTTATCAGCTTGTTTTGGTTTGCTAGAATACTGCTTTCCATGGCAAAACTACTGCTGGAAGCTGTGGCCATTTCATTCCACCCACAGCCTTGCAAGTAGTAAGGGTGGGATTTCACAGACTCCAACAGCCCGCACTAAGACTCCTAACAGTAATAAAATACTGCAAGTACAACAGCAGCTGACAGAGCTTGCTAAAAATTATTCCTTAAAATCAGCTGTGAAACCCAATGGTAGAGAACAGAAGGGTCCAGCAGACTCGGACAACACTGCTGCCTGCCCCCTGAGACCTTCCGATTCCTTTTCTCTTCCCACTGGGTTTACACTTCCTACACTTTGCTAGAGATACATTTAGGGGTTTTATTTCTTTCTTAATTGTCTGTGGTTTCTCAGGTGGTAACAGGGTATTAGGCACCGCTAACAAAAATTTGGTTTCAGTTCTTTATTATAAATTTGTCTTTCTAACAACCTGATTCTCTGTCTTCATAGTATTAAAATAATAATATGGTATAATGACACAGGTGTACTGCGAGGTTCATATAATTAACAGGTATCAGGATGTTTAAAATCTGTAGAAAAGTAAGCTCCATTTCGGACTTTCACTATATTGTTCTGCAAGTTTATCACCAGCATTGTTCTTCTCAGTTTTGCCACCATTTTGTATTCCCAGCGTATAATGCTGCTGGAACTCAGGCGCGTTCATCTTTATTTACCTCGGCACTGGGGTGGTTTTGCCATCAGCCCTTGTAACACCAACTTTCACAGCAGCCAACTGTGTGATGAGGGCACGAAGGGAAAGGGGTCAGGAGACAACCTGCCTGCAGGTTCTAGAGATTTCGCTCCACACGAATGGCTACTGACCTCCTTAAATTCTCCTAAAAAGTGAGCTGCTTTCACAGGCAGATTTTAGAAGCAACTTTACAAACCCTGAACGTGTTTCAAGTAGGCCAAATTGTATTTCCAAAGAAAATACTGTCTGTTACTTAAACGGCAGTATGGCCAGTAGTGTTCTGCGATCAGCAAGTAGAAAATGCTCAGTGGCCACGAGTGGAAAATACCCTGCAATCACAACTGAAGTCATGGACCAGAGTTTTCAGGCAAGATGCTGTATAATAGTCTTATTGTAAGGGCTTCACAAATTAAATGTGCTTTATAATGGGTTGCACAGATGTTTTGTCTAGGGACTTCCACCCACCATTATATGTAGTATGAAAAATTAAATTAGTTGTAATATTACTAGCTTATCCAAGAGTTTATCAACCAACAGTACATGATAATGCCCTAAGGTACTTTCAGTCTGGCTTTACAACTCATAGTTACGATCTCAGAGTTGATCGTAAAGTTGGGAGTGCGAAGTTAAAAGCAGACTGTCCCAGACAAGATGAGATTCAGCTCATCAATCTTTGAACAGATCTAGTATAGCATTAGAACGTTGGTGTTTATATGTAGCTATGGAGTTTAGTTACTGTTAGACTTTTTTACTAGCATTTGTGACTAGAATGTATTTTCTATTTTACTTTAACACTTCTGTGTTATCCCATACACTGTGCTTTGCTATTTTAAATATAACAGCAAAATAACTGCTGGTTATCATCTTCTAGTTATGTTATGTTAGGTCAATTAAACCAATTGAAACAAGGAAGTTATCACAATCAGGTGCAGAAGAGGCTTCAGAATTGGCACTGCCAAACAAAACGGCTTTTAAGGTCTGATTTAAAAAACAAAGCCTTTGCCGTACATAGGGCTGCAAAATATTACAAATAAACCAAGGCCAGGTGGGCTACTGTACGTGCCCATTTGTCTATATAATGTTGTTGGGCAAGAAAGCAGAACAGATGCAAGTTCCTTTACAGAAGCTGTACCTTTTGTTATCTTTAATGCTGCTTTACTCACGCTGCTGGTTTAAATCCCTGGAACACTCTGCACGATCAACGTGATAAAAAAGGCCATTCAATTGCACAGTAAAAGCGTCTGGGGAAGAGCTACTTACAGTAAATAGAAATTGATTTTCCTAAGGAGCAAATCCTGATCTGGCACCTAGAGGCGGTACTCACCAGCTTCACACAGATAATGAAAGGTGGAGTTGCGTCTCGGAAGTGACGTATAGGAATTTTCGGTTTGGGTCTCTCCTGCCGGAAGAAGCAGTAGATTTCAGTAGAGGGGCACACAGCACTACCTGTTAGCTCAGCTGTAGGAGCTACTAAACACTAAAAGGGGAAAAAATTGTTGTGAGACCTCATGCTAATAGTGCAGCTGGTCACATGCTTCCGCTCATGATTTTGCCCGTTGTTTCAAGCGCCCCTTCTTTCCTTACCTCCATCTTGCAGTACAATCGTCTGTCTTTGAATGAGGTTACACATGCCACTGGATCTGAATTCAGAGCTTTCTGCTGCTGAAAGGTCTCGCTCCTCTCCTCCACTGCTTCCTTGCCTTCCAGCTTGACTTTTAGCCCCTTCCCCAAACAATTCCCTCTCTGATCCGACTGCAAGGTATGCCGCTTTGACAGCCTACCCCACAAAAACCACCTTCTTTCTGTTTTTGGCAGATTAATTTTCTGCCACTTCAGTGAGCAGCATCAGCTCACTGTGCCATCAGAGAACCATCAGAGAACCATCAGAGCAGGCACGATAGCGGATGCAAAGGAGAATCCTTCCCTCTCAGTGGCAGCTGCTAAATGCCTTCTGCCCAACTGGGACTTCACCATGGCTCCAAGCTGCAGAATGTTCTAAGGATTCACAACAGGCTGCAGTACAATCTTCTGTACAACTGATCTGAGAGGATGGGTATGTCTTAGGACATGTAACAATTACACTGACAGCATTACTGCACCGGTACTTAGGAAGTCCTCAGTATCCCAGGTCAAAATCCTGAACTCTGATTGCTTTTGTGCAGCTGAAAGCCCTCAGCTTCCCAGTATAGACCTTGATTTTACAGCGACTCCAGACTAACCACAAGCTGTATCTGAGGGGGTGCCCCTCCTCCCCCCTGACCCCTCCCTCAGTCCTACTCCCATCAGACAGAGGATCATGCACCCTTGGGGTAATTTGATTCACAAGATAACTTGCTGGAAAACCTTTTATTTTAAGGGTTCCTTTTCTGCCAGATCAGCTAACTGAATCAAGTCACCCGTCAGCCGCGAGATTGCTGGGCCCATTACAAACGAAGCAGTGGGAGTGTGTGGCTGAGGCCAGCGAGCGAAGTCGGACCACCCCTGCAGCCAGAGCGGCTCAGCTGTGCTGCCGAACCGCATCTCAGGGGACCACGCTCCCAGGATCTGCCCCGATGCCCAGCGAAACTAAGAACTGTCTTTTCACCAGCCACTGTAGGGACCGAATCTGGATGCAACTTTACTCCAGGTCTTGAGCTAATCGCTGTCATGAAATTAATACTGCAACAAGACAACATTTTTTTCTGTATAGTTTGTTTATTGCCATCTAACTGTCATGCTCCCTTGTCTAGGGAATAAAATGCTGCTGCCTACAATGTTAGGATCTCAAGGAACCTATCAAAGTTTTAGTCGGATACAGATACTATACTTTATTTTAATAGATATTTGACTTTTACCCATCATAAGCCAAATTCTACTCCCATGTAAAAGAAAAAACTGCCAGTGAAGGCCGTGTTTCACCCCACCATCAGCATCCTTCCAGCGTGTATGTACTTTTGTCTTCCTAAACTGACTTCAGTGAGCATAAGGTCCATAGTTGTGGCTCCACAGGTTGCACTCCAGTACCAATCCCCAGCTATCTAGTCTTCTGTCAGTCTCCTTACCGAACTGACTGGCTATACAATAGCTAAAATCAGTGAGGTGTTCCTTCAGCACATTTCCCAGCACGCTTCCAGATCACAGTAAAGAATGCACAAGTACTTGTAACTAACCTCAGATTCTTCATAAGTGTAGAATCCTTTTGTTATTTTCTTTTCGTCAACGTCACAAAACGCAGCGACCTGGCAAAACAGAAGCAGAGCATTTCAGTACCGCTCTGTGCTACCAGCAGATATTCCACCTGCAGCACATCTGTGTAAGTAACGCTACGGGCACGTCAGTCAGCACAGGAACAGGACGATGTACCTTTGTCCTCCTGTGGAGCTTACAAATTTATGAAATCCTTTCTGGGCGTATCTTAAGGAGATGGGCAAATTTTGCAGTTGTCTATGGGCACATGATGCTTTTACAGACGTGAGAAGAGGTGATCTAAGCTACTGACGGCGGAAGAGAAAACACGTATGAGATCCTCAACTTCCTTCTCAGCGACATGCTGAGCAAACTAAAACCCAGAGACTGGCCTCCTCATTTTGGCACTTCCACTAAACACCTCAGATGAGGTAACACAAACCTTCCTCTTCCTGCCCACCCCAAGCATGTATCTCCCTCAGCACAGCAGTGCTGAGCTATCGCTTTGGATGCCCTGGTCATACCGGCCTCCATTCTAGGTCATTACGCACCAAGTTTGGGAATTCCTATGGTTTGGGACTTCGTGTTTTTCAACTTGGTGTTTAAACACACATAAATACTGCTTCATTTTGGTTATTCTTACCGTAGTTATGGGAGCATAACGTGCAGGCCTAGTTGCCAAATATTTCAGCTGGTTTTTTAGTTGCATTCCTCACATGCAGGCAGAATAAGTGCCTGCAATCCAAAATGCACAGTGGCCTCATTTTTGAACCATTACATTGCCAGTAACATTTTGGAAGACTTTTTAAAATAAACATAGCTATGTTTTCCTCCAACTTCCATTGGATCTAGTCATATCATCTAGCAGAACTCTTACACCGAAGAACAGTTAAGATAGTTAAGGTCTTGCAGAAATCAATTATTCCGGTGAAAGCTGGATAGCAGTTTTCCTATCTTTTTAATTGTTGCATTAAAAATTGATTAACAACACTTACTGCTGAGAAAATTTGAAAAGCCAAACAGCTGTTTATTAATTTGTTAGGTTAGAGAAGGCTGCAAAAGGCTGGCTTGCTTCCTCTGTCTACAAGCCTCTCTCACACATTTTCCTCCTGTTTTCTTTTACCTAAAGTGACCTCGTTCTGATTGTACAGAGGAAAACCCTGACACGAGCGCATTGCTGTCACAATGCTGAACTTCTGCATTCTTATTGCTACTTCGCTCCCGACACAGAGTGCCACCTTCACAGCCCAAGGGCAAAACTGCAGAGGAACAGAACCGTTACATGTATTTTCAGGCCACGGCCAGATAGAGCTGCATTCTCTTGCAACATAAAAGGTGTTTCTACTATCCAAAGAAATACTTTGGACGTATTTCTACTATCCCACAGAACAGTTCTCTATCCAAATCCTTAAATGCCATAATACCAGTTATTCCATTAAACGTCAATGGAAAGAGAATACAAACAAATTATCAAGGGACTACAAATAGGGCTAAAACACCACCACCGTACAAAGTCCATGAGGAAAAAACAGCTAATAAACGGGATCGGGTGGGCAGGGACAGTCCTTGGAACCACTCAGAGGCAGACGGTCATACCTGGAAAATAGGTTGCCTGAAAACAGGCACTGAAAGAAATAAAGAACAGAACATGAAGGAAACATTAGATTTTTCAGGTTGGGGCTGTACAACTAAAGGAACCAAGCTGCAGATCCAGACTGTGGGTGATCCCAATGCAAGGATCACCCTAAGGACAATTCCCCGTTTCACGCATTATAATGGAAATAAATTCAGGGCAGCACTAGGAAGTTACTAGTTGTTGTACAAGGTCTTTGTGGCTGATGCAGGCTGAGTTAGACAGGAGCAACCACAAGCAAGTCATTCAAGCACCAAGACGAAGCAGCAGGATCTTTCTTTTCTCTCTTAAACAGAAGTTAATCACTTTACATCCCTGCCTCTATTTCCATGACGACTGTAATGCTTTATTGTAGTTGAAAAATCAGGCGGTGTGGACTGAGCACAGTAAACTACATCTCAAGATTTCCTCCACCCATCTTATTTATACGTGTACATGCACGTACACACACACACACACACACAAATACGTATATATGAAGGGAAGCAGTAGAAGCCACTGTAGAAAGAGAGGTTACTTAGCTGTGTACTTTTCATTCTATGTTAAAATTCTCCAATATTCTGCAAACCTCAGTTCCACCACTAATGTTTTACTGTCCTTGAAGCTGTGATCACTATAAACAAAATTTAGGATATGTCTTCACTGTCAACCCAATAGAGTTCTGGGAATAAATACAGTCCAATACATTGACTTACATTCCAAAAATTGAAGCTATTTTTCAGCTGCTTGTACTCCTATAGATTTTAAAAACCAAAACACAACACGAAAACTTCTGACATAAGGTAAAATTAAATTCTATCTATACTTTAATGTCAGTAACTGAGAATTCAGCTGTAGATCGGTGCTGGCAAGTACCACACCGCTCTCCTTCACCATGGTGTAATACAGTTAACAGACACCCCTGACTGGTGCATGGATTTCTCCTTACATGAATGGGGTTCGAGACCTAAAGATAGTTCCTGTATCACTGGATTACCAACAATCATAATACTTCTTCTCACCCTGTGCCATATCTCATACTACCATGTGTAGAAAATCCTGCAAACTGCCTCTGCCACACTCACCACCCAGCCCCGCGAGGATCGAGCCCACGGAACTCCTGCTAACAGCAGCTGTGGGAGAAAAAAAACAACTTGACAGGTAAGTCTGTGACAAACTTCCCTTAGAAGACAGAAATGACTTGAGCCTTTTTTTGAGTTTTGATACTAAGGTATCGCCACGTATAATTTTCAGTGGATTCAGCCAGCTTAAATCTGGTATTTACAGTATTATAAAACAGGTCAGACTTCAACGGGCAATTTTTCTGCCAGACTGCACACCATGTGGGTGGCCAAAATGAAGTCAACTACATTTCTGACACACACTATTTACTTTCCAATTAAAGAAAATCTATGTCTGGAGTCTAAGTACAGAACAACACACAGTTGTTCATCCTCTACGGAGACCTCAAGGCATCAGGCTTATATGAGCTATTTACTTTATACTGTTAAGATAAACCCAGAGTTACCTATTTATTTTCCTGCATTAATGGGCTCTTTCTTGTTTCTTTTATGAAGACCATCTACCCACACATGAACTACTGTCTCCCAGGGGGGAACCTATGAATTATCAAGCTATAACGCAGCCTCATGTTAGTTCTTTTCCCCTCCTCCTAGAAAAATGCCTCTTTTGCAATGCCTCTGACAACCTGACACCACTGAAGCTCACAGAGTCCTCAGGTCACGCTTCAGTTTTCAGAAAATAGAGAAACGATTACATATTTTTGTTTCGAACATCACCTGTATGAAAATCTGCACAATTCCACAACAAAGAAAAAAGACTACCATTTCAGCTAAAAACTGGAAGAGACAAGTAGGTATCTGTTATATACAGGCTCCACAATTACTGTAAGTAATACGGATTGCAACATACATTAACAGCAGTGTAAGGGAAAAAGGAGAAATGGTTTTCTCCCTCACGAGAGAAAGTTTACATGGTTCAAAAGATAAGATATTTACTCAAAAAAAAAAATCTCTGCGAGGGGAAGATGCATTTGAGGAAGATAAAAGCACTTCTCTGGCTGGTTCTTTTTAATAAACACAGCAGCTGTGTGAAGGGACACACAGGCTGGGACTATCAGACCTCCCTGTGGTAAAAGGAGATTAATGGGCAGCAGATCAATCCTACTCCAAATGTACAACCTAAGAAGTCAGCAAGAGCGGGCTGGGGGCAGCTGTAATCACCTAGCTGTTTGAGCTGGGCCACCATCACACAAGAATTAAGTTTGTTTCATACTTGACTTGTTCACTGCCTTGGTGGCTACTGCAGAAGATGTTTCCTTACACTTCCCATACCACTCAGATTTCCTAATGGAAAACCGGAAAGATTTCATCAGCCTAATAACGTCCTTCTGTGGTGAATGATCTTCACAAGATTTTACTCCCTCATCTTATTTTCACCTCTGGTCTGCTTTAGGCCTGTAATGATTATTTACATAAAGCAGCAAAACATAATCACAGCAAATTCTCAAGATCTGGTCTAGCTGGAAGGGCACGAGAGGCAAATCCTACAGGGAAGAGTGAAAAACTTGGTAGAGCATGACAGAAAAAACAGACAACTGATAAATGGTCACCTGCACATCGTCCCCTCTCCCTCCTCATTACATCAATTGGGTCTCATAAATTTTATCTTTAAAGACAACCTGCAAACTCTCCACAAAATCCTGTATGAGCAGATCTTCCCTGCTGCATTCTCTCCACGTCTTCGTGCAATCCTTCATCCCTTTTAAACTTCTAGTGACCCTGTTGATTCTTCTATTTATAATTCGTTCATTCAAAGTTATATAAAGCCTCAGAAGCATGTTAATACACATCACCACAAAAGTTAAACCAATTTTGGCCATTCATGTCAAAACAAAGTAACTGAAAGCATTACAATGCCAGTTTAAACAGATACCGTTAATGACAAACAGAACAGGGACACGCAGAGGCATAAACATCTCCCAGTACGCCACACACGGAACCACGAAACTAGCAAGCAACCCTCCATCACAATCAGAGTGATTTTCAGTATCAGGGTGCTGCTTTTATTTCACCTTTTTAGCATTACAGAAGCTGTGGATATCATTAAATTCCAAGCATGCATTTCATGACTCCGTTTAAAGACGCTATTCCATTAAAGACAGCAGCATCTTCCCTCTTTATGCATGCACATACACAACAAAGTTGCTCAAGAGAGTTTTAATACCAGGATCCAATATGCAAAATAAGCTTCTAAATATCGTACATAAGAAATTCCCCTTAATTACATACAACTGCCTTTACACGTAACAGTGTGGGAACCAGTGGCAAGTGTCTCATTTCACTAGAACCAATACCTGCATCAGTTATGCCAGTGTTTCCAAGCATGTGTGCCGCTGTACGGACAAAACGGACATTGCAAAAGTGCATCTTCCTGAAGGGAAGCAGCAGGGAGATTTCCTTGTCATATTTCAGCATGAAGTACTCGCTACAGTCCAAAATGGAGCCTCTGTTTTACCCCATGTCACTTTAGGATGTTTTATACCTGAATTTAATTGAAGCTTTCAAATTTCATCTCTCCTCATTCTGTGGGCTCTCTTTTAACTTGCTCTCACGTTGTCACTCTATCTTTTGCTCTACTGTTAAGGTGGGTGTAATATTCTTCCCTTTGTTTATGTTTCTTTGCTTTTACGTGTCCCCACTTTAGTCTCTCAGACTGCTGTTCCCATACTTCAAGGTAGTTAAAATGCTACAAAACTTAAACATTTCTTGCTTTTGTGAGTGAGCTGAAGGATCATAGCTGAATTACAGGGTTCAGTGATGTCATTCTTAAAAAAAAAAAAGGTGAAGAGAAACTAACAGATGATTTTCAATGGTTCACGAGCTAGGAAAAAGGGTGTACGAAATACTTTCCTGAAGCTTTCAAGTTTGCCACTGGCGGACGGGGTTGTCATAGAGAAACTTCACGGGCTGGCTGTGTACTAGCACTGTTTCCATGCCACTAATTAGCTGATGCTTATTTCGTCTTTTCCCCCTCCTTGTCTGTTCGCTACTTGAACACTATTTTCAGCTATCGGAAATGACACAAAATGTTAATGTTGAAATTCTCCTTTTAGCTGAAGTTTGACGGAGAATAATAGAGCAGACAAGACAGCTCAGAAACCCTCCAGGCATATGTAGCATCCCAAAAACATTTGGTTTCCATCTTCAGCTGCAAATTATAGACAAGACGGATGTGTTTTAAACAAAAAAAGGTCTGTTTGACTTCATTCTTGCAGAAATGCTAATACTGAACCACTGTCAACTGCATGAATCAAGAAGGGGACAGCCAGGAAACAGAATTTCCCTAAGAATACTGAGATCCTGGTAATTAATTCATAAAAAACCTACTAGTTGAATAATTTTTTTCGTGTGTTGCTGTTTAGCAAAAATAGCAAGCCTTGGATTTTTGCCTGAACTCTTTGGAGACAAAGCATTATTTTAATAGTCACGGTACAGATGTCTGAAGGAGAAGAGAGATGATTGCTTAGGTGTCCTCTCCTCTTTTAACATAGCCATAATTCAAATTCAGACTATTTTCCAAACAGACTAAAGTAATAATTTGTTAGTGAGCATGAACATACACAGACTGCCGCTTCCTGGAATTGCCAAAATTTTGTTTTCTAAGAAACAACGCTGTTTGGCACGCAACATATTTATACTTTTCAAACATCCCACAAAAACCTCGTCAGTGTACGAAATAAAAGTGCTTTGTTTATCAGTTCTAAAAATACTAGAAACATTCTTTTTGAAAAAGATGTTTTCTTACATGCCCTAAGCTTGACAGTTCCAATGAATTAATTCTCTTCCTGAAGGTTTAGGTTTTTTCGTAATTACTAAATAATACAAGCTGTAGGTAATAGGTTTGGGGAGCGGGGGTGTGTGTGTGTGGTATTATTTATTCTAGGAGTATGCATCCCAAATTTTCTACAGGTACTCAGTACCAATTTAGGAAAGAACCCTGCTGTGACTCCACCTTGCAACCGAAATCAGTTTCATGACATCGAATGAAATTCTGAATTCAATAAAAGGATGCAGCAACAGTGACACAGAGCATAGGTGAAATTTTCAGAAGTCTACACTGACTTAAAAGTGTAAAACCAACTGAAATTAAATTTAGACAGATAAATTATACGGCTTAGTTAAATTATACAGTTTATTTTGGCAATTTTACCTACATTTCAAAGGGTATTAGACATTTTAAGATCACACTGTTTTACATAACTGGACCTTCAGAGGAGAAAATGGTAATTGCATTGATGGAATATATTTCGTCTTAAGGGGCTTTTGGAATTGTATTTTAAAGTTGTCTAGTTCTATTTTTTTTTTTAGAAATTGATGAATTCAGATCCCAGGGCCTCCATTTACAAGACAACACTAGATTCTACTTGTAGATTCAAAATGATACTGAGTTTCTAGTATCCTCATAATTAACAGATTATATGAAAGCTTAAATCTTCCTAAGTTAGTCTTTAAAGGGTGAGACAGGAAAAGCATTTTATTGTTGTTATGGCTGGAAAGGACGAAGCAACAACTATTTACAACCTTGGTTCACAAGGGATTTTAGTGTCTTTGGCAAGAGTTGAAGATTAGTCACAAAATACCTGAAGGATTTTTGAGGAAAAGTATAACACAGAGTTTAACTATCCTCCTCCTACTGTTATTAATTTAGAGCAATATTAGAACTGCCATGAATTACCTACCGCAAATTTTATGAATTTATTTCCTGAAACTCCTTTGTCCTTTGATTAGCACTCGGAGAAGAGAAATGTTTTAACTACTTTACAGCCTTCCACCAATGACTTACCATGAAACGTCAGGGTATCATTCAAGCTTCAGTTCTGGCTGAGATGGATAGACTTTGATCTCACTTTTGGAAAAGCCAGGAAGTTACAATGGCAATCATAATGAGCCTGAACACTACATAAAACCAGAGCTTTAATCGCTACAGAAAACACTAATTGCATCAGAAATTAGCTGTCTAAAAGCCAGGCCTCTACGCTCTCTCAGGATGATACAAGTCACTTTCTGAAGCTATTCACCATCTTGGTTATTGAGAAAACCTCCGAATACTTCAGACAACATGTCAGACCTCGTGGATAAAGTTCGATTACTCTGTCTAAGGTATGAAGGATCATACAGTGACTGCGTTTTAGCAGCAGTCTTCTGCGGTACATTTGCAAAATGAGTCATACTTGGCACGGGCGACCATCTGGCACGTAAGCTTGCTCAATGTGTCTGGTATAGTGTCCAGCAATTAAGGGGTTAATGCTCAACGCAGTATTTCGGTATCCAACGAAAGCATACTGGAATATGTGCAATTGTAGCCTTGACAGAAGCAAAATAGTATCGTGGCCTGCAACCCTGCCAAAGCAAACGTTATGGAAAGGTCAGCTGGAAAGCACGTCAAGACGCAGTTAATTAGAACCACACTGTCAGTGCTGGTGTGCCGGGGAAGGGAGGCTGTTCCTTACTGCAGGAGAGGTAAGCTTTGGTTCTGTGGCAGAAAAATGGCAAGAACCAACAATATTATTTTTCCCTTGCCCTTTTCATCATCTCTACAGTGACGTCTTCAAATTACCATTGTGTTTGCTGAACAGGATGCGAAGTCACCTACAGAAGTAGGTGGCAAATGTAACCCAAAGCCAGAGAAATCTTCCTTCTTAACATCCATCTCCATTTTGGCTTGGCACAAAAAAAACTAGAAAACAAAACAAAAAAACCCAACATCTCACATGGTGAGATTCTGCTACAAAAACAAAGTCTATTTTTTCCATAACATCTCAAAAATCTAGCTACCATCTCTTCCCTTGGAACTTACTTTCTAATTCCCGTAATTTTGCAGACAGAAAAGTGCAATGGTTGCTAGTAAGTCAGTAGAACTCACAAAGTGCTCTGCAAAATGCTAACGAAACGAGAGCATTCTGATAAACCCCCAAAGTCATGTGCACACTGCACTGCACAACCAAGATAACTCAATAGGGCTAACGGCCAGTTCTGTCCTCTCTGAATGAAGTAACTGATTGGAGACACGCAGTGCTTAATCTTTCTTCATACAGTTCACCCACTGCCATGTGACGGCAATGAAAGAGGGATGGCACTGGAATATCAGGCAGGAAATTCAGTTTCAATTCCTGTGTTGTAGATTTACTGTGAGTGTCTCCCATGTCCATTCAGTAATTTCAACTACGGGTATACAAATTTCTTCTATTTTTTTAATGTGTGTGTGGTCTGAGGGCCACAACATTAATCAGGTTTATATATATGTTTGTCATTTTGTCTTCCCATCCATATTTTTAAGAAAAGAAAACACATTTGGTAATAAAATGAATGTTCTGTGGCTCTTGATAAGAAACAGCCATTTGACATTAGCCCTAGAGCTTTATCTATCAAAAAGTTATTACACAGAAGAAAATGCTGTAAAAGTAAGGTATTTAAACTCTCAGACAAATCTCTCCTGAGAAATATCTGCCATTGCCAAATATAAATAGCCTCCACGTTTTCAATTGACCGTAAGGAATCAGATAGTCATGTACGATGGTTTCTACTCGCCTGTTCACCCTGCACCCCACCCCTATTCCCCTATTTCTAAACAATCAAGCTTTTCAAAAGGGATTACAGTACAACTACTCCCATAATACAAACCAGGTTGATCAGTATCCAATAGGGACCTGTCCAGCATCCACTTAGGAACTGGGCAAATATTATACATGTATGAATATTCCTGGGCAAGGCAGTTTAGTACTGTATCATCCAAATAAAGAGTTATTCCGCTCACCTCGGGTACGTGGCTACTACATGGTTAGCTACACAGCAGTAAGCCATAACAGGTACAGAGTGTGTCTAACCCATTACTACGGTTAGTCACCAGCAAGCAGGAACATGGGTGCATACATTGCACTACACACACGCCATACGCTCTAAATAAGGTAAGACAGCATTTTAAAAGAAGAAACAGATTATGCAGAATATTGAGAATTTCCCCAATTTATACTAATCATCATCTAGTATTTTGGAGACAAAATACCTTCTGAGAGTTTTGCTATGTTATGTTAGAAGCAGCAAGGAGGCATGTGAAAGAAGAAAGTGGTTTTGTATGGATGGTACCCACTCTCACTAACTCACCTTTTTCCGATTAGCTGGTGACAAGCTTCTGTAGAGCTTCTTGCCTTGCTTGCCAGCGTTCCAAATGGTGAATGATGTCCAGGAGCTCAGGACTCTGTCTTCAAGAAACCTGACTCGGTGATTCCAGATGGTTCCCCTGGAAAGTTAGAAAAAGGGTGCATTTTGATCCCTAAAACTTTTAGCATTATTATATACCTATATGCGTGCGTACATACTCACTGACAGCTAAACCTGATCAAACTGATTCACACATGATACAAAAAAAAAAAAAAAAAAAAAAAATCACACCGAAACATTATACTAGAAATTTCCAAGGTAAATGTAAACTGTTTCTAGAAAAAAAGAAATTCTGTGGGATTTCTCAGACAAAAATCATTAGGATAGATTTGAAGCTGTACCTAAACCACTATTATTTTCAAGAACCCTAACAGAAGATCACAAGAAGATGAAAAACTGTGGCTACGGTCATCAAATTCAACACCACCAATTCCAACTGCCCATCAACACGCTGTTTGCCCATGCCCGTGTACTCACTGTACAAACTGCTCTACGATCTGCAGTACGTACAGGCAAACTGCCTCCTAAATCCAAGATGACCTCTTCATGTTCCATCTCCTGTGCCTGCATTCTCCTTTGTCAATGCGAAGGTGAAATCTCCAAAATTCAGTACACCAATCGACCCCAATATACAGCCCAATGCTACAATGAAAGTCCATTTACCTTGTGGTATGCGGCTCAAGTCTTCAACAAGTCAGTTTTCAAAGCTCTGAATCAGCAGGCACCCGTACAGCAACAAGTAACCACTACTGAACTGCAAAGTCACACGCAACACAAACTACTGTCTGTTACACACGATTCACACTCACAAATGTGCACACACGGCTTTAGACCAAGAGTGACTTAAAGGTTCCAAAGTACTATTCAGCAGTGACAGGAATGTGACTGTGCCTTTATGTGAAGATGACTTTTATAAGAAATAGGATTTCTAGAAACAAAGAGCAAGGAAATTCTTTTTTTTTTTTTTTTTTTTTTTGAGAGAAGTGGTGTGCCTCATAAAACTTCTTAAAACATGCTTTAGAAAAATAGCAAGCTGGCAGACGTCTGTGTCCAATTACACCTTCATGTCTTCATGTTTGTAATAAGTTTCCACAATATAATTTGAGCAGTTGAGGTAAACAACTGTGAGACTAACACCAAACAATGAACCACACGGCTCTGGAACCAGTAACAAGGGAACACCTAACAGCTTTAAATACTGAAGACCCGCTGAGATCTTCAACAAGTTCAAGATTGGTCCTCGGAAAGAGAAGACAACTTCAAGGAAAGTGTTTTGTTCATGGAACAACCATGCCCATGACAGTTCACGTTGTCAGACAGTCTTATCAATGAATCAGGCTGCTCCATCTCCTAGTTGCAGTTCTGATTATCCACAGTGCTGCATGCATTACACCGACTGTAAAATACAGGAGTATGATCGCTAGAGATGTCTGATGATCTGCCATTACAGTAGCATCTGACTTCTATGAACCGTTTTCAGATTTTTCCTTTTTGTAACAGATTATCAAATTTCAAAGCCCTGTAACAGACACAAATTTAACTATTCCAAATTATTCTCATGAAGGTTATACCTCTGAGGTACAATAACATCATTTGAAGTTATTGAGGTTAACAGGTAACCTAATTTGTTCCCAAAAGTTTCTTAGCAAACTTTTCTAATATTTTAATGATAGGAATTTTGTGGTTTTATTTGCGTGGCTCCTTCACAGCCCTGAGTTATAGTTTGAAAAACATGTGACCCTCATAGTACTGAGACAGATGGATTCTTGCTGGGATTATTAGTTAGCTCCAGAGAGCCTGCTTCACTTCAGCGTGCCATTTTTGAGCTCAGCCAAATCCTGTTTAGCACTTCATCACTGATTGTGGTGTGATAACCTGGAAAGAACTTCACACACAAATAAATGTACCCAGGAAGCACAGCTACTCCGTACAAAATTTCCACACTGTTCCAAGGACTACGGCCGTGCACCAGCACTTCAACTAACAGAGGAAAAAAAAAAAAATCTTGGATTTGATTGCAAACCTCTTCTCATGCAACCACAACCTGCATGCCTGCTGCAAAGCTTTAGCTGCTGCTGGCATCCTTTGACACTTGCTTTTTTCCGTGTTCATTAGAGCACGCTGTATTCCCAGAAGGAAAGTTAAAGGAAAGAAATATGAAGGTCAAGTATTTTTCCAGGATCACTTTACTGGAAATTTTAAAGCTTCTGCTAGCTTCTAAAAAGGAAGATTATTGCTTTACACGTAAATGGAAAGGTTTTAAAAGCGATTTTACTTTGAAATGTGACTTCAGAAGGATAACACTGTATTATGTTCCAGAGGTACTTCAGAATCTGTTCTGTCGAGTGAGTGACACAGGCAAGTTTCTTCTCCTCTTGAGTTTGCAAAGTCAAGAAAGCTAAGGAAAAAAGAGGCAGCCTTACAAGGCATAAAAAGAACTATCAACTAACTTCTAGTGGTAGGGCAAACACTGGAATCTACGTCCAGGCACACAGAAAATGTTTCCCATTGTCACGGAGCTGTCCCAGTACATTCAGCACTGGTTGCTTCCAGTCAGTATGTGTCTGCTGTCTAGGTGACAAGTGCCTGTATTCCACACAAGTCCCTATAGAGGTAACATTCAAGCAGACCAAATCTCCTTGTTGGTAATCACCCACAAAGATTTCAGACCGAAGCAGATTTACTGACCCAATCTCACCTACAAATGCTACCCTGAGAAATGCAAGTGAGGGAAGTATGTAAGGGAACTGCGCTCAGAAATAAAAGGATATGAAAGTTATTAAACACCAAATCAACTGGATCACTGTTCAAATACAAGAATGTTGGCAGACAGCTTCATTTAAGCACCAAAATACCTATTTTGGGTTGTGAAAATGAAGCCAATAATCCCAGCACTTGCGATTTTTGCGTGCATCACTATGAGGCACTCTTATGAAAATGCTCACAGAAAAGAATTTTTAAATTACATCCCCATACTGTGTGTGCCCTTTTCAATGAAAATAATTTTAGTTATATCAAACATTTTGCAGTCTTGAGTTAACCTTGAAATAGTTCTAACGGTGCAAGCCCAGATCATCAGATAAATACAGAACGGAGGGCAGAATGTGTGACTACACTTTACAGTGACAATTACAGACTAAACCTTTGTGAAAACTTGCTCTGCACAATCTATCTCACATGTTGAAGCAAAAGGTAGCTTACGGAGTGTCAAAATACAGAGTTTCAGTTATCCCCTTCAGGTTTCCGGTTCACCTGATTTGCCATGTTTTTTGATGTTTCCAGAGCAGATAACTGGGATTCCTGCCTTGAGGGATAAGGGAATGCCATTTTCCCATCCTTTAAGAGCCAGTGCAGGTGCAACAGACAGGAACTGTAGCAACGTGCAAAGGATGATTAAAGAAAACGCCTGAAACGATCTAGAAGTTGTATAAACCACTGCTCAGAGATGATTCTCACAGCTTTTTTTCAGATTTTGCATTATTGCATATTCATAGCCACCAGCAAAAACCAGGAGGTATTATTACTCTGCATCATCCCAAATCAAGGCTGCTTTTCCAACCCATGCCAGAAAGGATTAAAGTAAGCCATTTCCCAGCAGCCTTTAGGATCAATTTCCTAGCCTGTATTCATTGAACAAGATTTTCCTCAGCCAGAAGGTGGGATACAAATTCTTCTGACTGTAGAAGTTTGTTCCCACATCCTCAATCCCCCTCCTTGACCCAAATTCTTTAAGTACTTTAATTTTCCCATTTCTTTCATTTTCTTGTCACTTCTTTACTTTACAAAACAATGTTAGAAGTATACATTTTTCTACTTACAACATCATTCTTGAAGCTTACATAATTTCCTAAGACCTCACTTGCTGTGGCCCCTCAATAGTCATCAGTTCTGTAGTCTGGAAGGAAGAAGGGGAGCCAAAATTCTGCAGGAGTGAAATGAGGGTATTCATGCAGCGGGTGAGAATGACTACCAAGTGTGTTCCTCAGTCCCAAGTAGTTATTACCATACCATCCACCCAAGTGATATAACAATGGAGCTCTGTTAAAATGTGTGGTGACCTACTGACTGAATACAGGAGTCAAGAAACATCTGCTCTACTCCTATTTTGAAATGAAAGATAATGTGACAATAAAAGCTACATGATTTAATGTCTGAGCTCAGTTAAACCTCACCGTATTGTTTGACTGCCTTTCCCCTCCTTCCCCCAGCGAGGCTACATAAGTGAATCAACAGAGCAAAGACAGATGTACAAGTACTTGAGAAACGCACAAATACAAGCCCAATATCCTAAGCAGCACTGGAATTTTAGGCATTGATTACCAGCCACTGTAATACTATAAATCTAGGAATGTGACCTTTTCTATGTACGTCGGGCCTGCACACTACTCAGGTAACACCAGACAGGAAGAGGAGCTGTTCAAGTGCACAGGCTCTTCCAGTGGTTTTTTATTGATGGCAGGATAAGAGAGGCCTGTATTATAGGTGAATCTCACCTGATAGATAATCCAGAGATGGAAGAACAAGAGAACTTTTCAATCACAGTGGGAGCTGAAAGAACAGATTCTTTATAGCTAGCTTTGCACGCAGAATTCACGGTCCTTGCAATCCACAGGAAATTCAGAAATTAATCCCATTTGAACCTTGACCACACTGGTGAACAAACTGATTTCTTTTTTTTGTCTTTGTTGTTCTGTTGAACTTCATGTGAACTTATTAATTGCTGGACTGTATCGTCTCACTGAGTTATTACATTTACACTGTTAATAGGTTCTATTAATGTCTGAGTTCATCTTCAGGTCATGGGTCATTAACTGAGGCATGGTTTGCATTGTGGCCTATTTTTCATGAAAGGCTTATTAAGAAAGACAGAGACTATCAACGTTAATGCCATTTACTTTTCAAGAATCTAATGAGGTCATTAATTTCCATGTTTAATTGAAGTGCCAAATGCAAGCATAGAAGATAAAAATGCAGCTGACCTCATCTTTATTGCAGTTGTACAGGAATACATTACGCTTTTCCTCTCTCCTGCCTATTTTTGG